TCACAGTTAGGGGGGCTAGGAGCTGGAACCAACTTCCAAGGGAAGTGGTGCTGGCCCCTACCCTGGGGGTCTTTAAGAAGAGGCTGGATGCCTACCTGGCCGGACTCATTTGAGTCCTGTTTTTGTTTTGGGGTTTTGTTGTTCTCCCGCCCTGGCGGGGGGTCGGGCTAGAAGATCTACTAGGTCCCTTCCGACCCTAAATCTATGAAACTATGAAACTATGACCCGTCTCCATCAGCCCATCTCCATTCTCTCTATAATTGCTCTTTTGGTATTTCAAGACTGTTATCAAATCCCCACTCAGTCTTCTCTTCTCCAGACTAAATAATCCTAGCTCTTTCAGCCTTTCCTCATAAGTCTTGCTTCCCAGGCCCCTACTCATTTTTGTCACTTCGCACTAGACACTATCCAATCTGCCCAAATCCTTCTTGAAGCACGGGGCCCAAAACTGGACACAGTACTCCAGGTAAGGCCTCACCAGTGCTGAGTAGTGGATCAAGGATCACATCCCTTGATTTGCAAGTGATACTTCTCTTAATACAATCCAGTATACTGTTAGCTTTTTTTGCAACAAGAGCAAACAGTTGGCAAATATTCAGCCTATGGTCTCCTTTAGCCCCTAGGTCTTTCTCTGAAGTACTGCAGCCAGGCCAATCATTCCCTTGTCTGCATTTGTGCATACAATTATTCCATTCCGAATGCACGATTTTACACTTGTTCTTGCTGAATTTCAGCTGATTGATTGGGAATAATTTTTACAGGTCTATCCAGGTCATTTTTGGGTCATTGTGTCTACCCTCCAAGAGTGTCTGCATATAGTGTTGTATCACTTTAGTTTCTAACCAGAGACAAACCCTTTCTTTGTTTTATCAAAACTCTGGGAAAAATATTGAGTGTTTAGATCCTAGTTTCCCATTTGTTGCGAACTGTATTTATTCTCTGTTAAATTTCTCCCTCAGGAAGCAAATGTTATGTCATTGTGTTCATGAACTATAAAAGGCAGAGAACTGAGTTCTGCTTTTCCTATGAAGGAGCATGAAAGAAGAGAAGAGGGTACAGATTTCTCAGATACAACCATCCTTGATGTTGTTGATGTAGACAGGATTTGCCAAAGTAGCAAGCAGTGATGCCTTTGGCTCAGAATCACAGGTGAGATGGTGTAAGTTGGCAAGCTGCCTGTATGGTTTTTTTGTTTTGGGGAGTATCTGGCATCCCTACAAGTCAAAGACCAAGAGCCAGAACCTGAACCCACTGTGGTGACTTTTCTTTAGTGCAGGGGAATTCTTGCCTGATGTAACCTTGATATTGGGAGCCATGTCCAGAGGCTTTCTACATGTTCCTCTGATTCCCATAACAACCCCCTGGTCATCACTGCTAAAGCTCCTCTCAACCATGTTGGAGATAAGGAGGGCAGAAAACTTGTTCCAAAAATAGAATAGGGCAGAAGCAACATATTTGTGGTTTCTTCCCTAAGTTGCAGCAAACGCTTCCTGGAAGTCCCAACCTTGCATATCCTGAAGTGTAAATTAACACAAGACTTAGTGAAGGATGATAATAACTAGAAGGAAAGAAAAGTGAATGGGAGGAAAAATAATATAGTATTGAAACAATAGAACTGTGCATTTGCAGAGGCTGTTAATCCCAGTGCTTTTTGTGTTTATATGTGTGCATGTCTACATTTTATTGGTTCCAGGCCTAATAAAACTGCATGGTTAGAATTTCTGCAGCCCACACTGGAAGTCAAATGCCAGTGGTTTTAATATTAACATTTTAGTGAATTTTATTTTAAAATTAAATAATTATCTGAATTGCAAACACTCCTGTGCCCCAAAACTTTGAAACAAGTTTAAAATGGCTCTGCTCATGGCCTGATTCCATATGTAGTGATACTGTGTACTTTTAAGCTGTCTATTTGTGGGCACTACAAATTGGACATTTCTTTTAGAGTTTGAAACTCAGAGGTGCACTGTCATGATTTTTACTTCACTACAATGATTCATGTTACTTTGTGTCCCCTCAGCTGCTATTCAGCTGACTGAGCTGGGGGATGATAGTAATAAAAATAGTGTACTTTTTTGCCTGATAAATCTGATAATGGTTACCATTACAGTTTACATAGTGTTAGAAGTTATTTTGCCCCAAATATGCAGCAATTTCTTTTTTCCAAGGGAACCTTTCCAAAAAATGGTGCAAGCTTAAGCATTATCATGATTTTTTTTCTTGTTTCCACAACAGCTTTATAGAGGCCTAAAAGGCAGGCTATGATATTCCTCTAGATCTTAGGTCCAGTAGCAATGGAGATATTAGAAATTAGACTGGAAAAAGTAAAGACAGTAAAGGGCAATGTAATGGATGGTAACTGCTCTGAAGCCCAAGCATATTGATTTTGGAAGCAGGAAAACCTCTGTAAAATGTAGGCTTGTAGGGAGCCTAGAGAGTGACCAAAGGTGCCATACAAAGGAGATGTAACATTTATTAGTGGTAAACATGGGTAAAGTCAATACTGTTAGTGAAAATGATGATTCAAGTTCATAATAAAAAATTTAGGTGAGGGAAACCAAAGTAACAAGTTAGGGATCAAGTTTTTCTGTTGTACTAGAAGTGATCAAGAAGCTGACTGGCATTTTCTCTAAGTCTAGGTTAAAACTGAGGCATAGCACAGATACAACTTTAGTAGCGCCAAAAGATGACTTTATGGCTATAGGCAGAGATGGAGGCCAATATTTGGCTTCTCTACAGCTGTTTACATAATTGACTTCAATTTACTGATGAACTCTCTAGAGTATTGTTTCTCAACATTTAAACTCAAGTCATCCTCCTATAACTTTTCTGAATTTAGGAGCACTCAATTTCAAAAACAAATGTATTCATTACAGTCCATTTTTGGACTACAGAAAAGCAACACAGAAATTATTCTGTTGCAAAGAATTCAGAAACACCACAACAGGCCAGATTGTTTGTGACACTATGGCTCCTATTTGGAACTTCTAGGTTTGTCTTGTAAACAATGTGTAGGTGTTTGCATACCTAGGAGTGCTCATACTGTGGAGCACCCTGGATGTCATGGCACCCTAGGTTGCTGTGGCAAGCCAGCTGAAAATCACTGCTCTACAGCAGCGATAGGCAACCTTTCCTGGCCAGAGTGACCCACCAAGGGTCAGAAGTGGGTGGGTGGGTGCTAAGACTGACCCACAGCTGAGGCTTCTTCTTTCTATGGCAGCACAAGGAGGAGTGCCCACCACTGGTGTTTCTCCCTAGAATGGCACAGGAAGAAATGCCCACTGTCGAAGCACCAGGTCTGCAGGCCACATTTTGCCCACAGGCCGTAGGTTTCTCACTCCTTCTCTAGAGCTTAAGACTGCACAGTACTGTGGTGGCTTCAGTCATTCCTTTCAAATAGGACCCAGAGGATGGTCCAGGCAACTGTTCCTCTTTACACAAGCTCTCAGCTGCAGAGTTCCACAGGGTCTATTTTGTTCCTGTCATCCCCTTCAGCACCTCTGTGATACCATCTTTTGAAGGCAGTGAGCTGCCCCAAACTCCACAGGCAGCTGAATATTTAGAATGGGCTGCAGATCCTTCTCCGGGGAAGCAACTAGTACTCTTGCAAGGATGTCATTAGGAGGTCAGCATCTGGCCAGAAAGCAGCTGGCTTTAAACTTGGTTATTGTTTTGAAAGAGGAAATTCTGTGAAAAAGAGGCAAGACAGATACTCACCCCCACAGCCCTCCTTTCATCCAAGGGATGGAAAGCCTTGGGTTTTTGTTTTAACTCGGTTTTGTTTTGTTTTAACTCTTTCACTTGAGAACTAGATAGTGTGAGTGATAAGTTTCTATTTTTACAGCCATCTTGTGCGGAACTCTCTCATTCCTTTTTATGAGGACTTATCCATAGTAATCCAGGTATTTTTTGTTTTCAGACTGAATTACTATAAATTACTAATTCTGGAACCAAATGAAGAAGAAATTCAGAGGCTCCAATTCATGTGGAATACAGCAGTTCATACCATCACATGCTAGGCTTCTGCAAATGTATTTAGTCCTGTGAGCAAATCTCCCTGAAAGGTTCCCAATCTGCTTGTGTTGCTGGCTTAAGGCCTTATGCCTGGATTTTAAAGCTATTCGCAGGTCAGGTGCCAGCAGTATCAGTGACTACATCTATACCCATGACCCAGGAAGACAGCTCTGTTCCATTGGGATGATACAGCTCTTAAGACCCATGACAAAGTGGCAGAGATACAACTTTTGCTAAAGGGGACTTGACCGAGGAACAAGCTTCCAGAGGAAACTAATCAGTATGTGACTACTTCCAGGATGTACTGCAAATTTCCTCCTGACAAAGCTTTCCCAGCAAAACCATGTGAACAGGGAAGAGGGAGAAAACAAACAGTGCTCCTCCCTACTGTGCACAGTTGTTTTTTGAGCAAAGCCATTTCCACCAGTGAAAGGAAGGGGGATAAAGACTAATGAAATTCAGAAGGGATGTGGTCATGGGAAGAACTTACATACTGAGCAGATGGTCATTAAAGACAAACCCTAAAATAGATTAGCTAGAGAACTGGGAAGGCAGTGATATGTCGGAGGAGTAAGGGAGAGTCCTTTGCAGGATGGCGAGCTGTATATTTCTAGGACAAAAATACACCATTTAAAGGATTAACTGAAGTAAGACATGATTAGGACAAAGTGACCAATATCTGGAGGTACTTATTGCTGAGTCACAAGCAATTAGCTATTACTCAAAGCACCAGATGTGCTTGAGCCCTTTCTTAAGCTGCCTGGGCCAGCTTTGTATGAGTGTGTAATGTTGCCTGGTGATTACTGTTAGGATGTGGTGCATTTGTTGGAATGATGGAAGAATGATGGAACAGAGCTGCTTGCTTTGTGTCTTCACTAGGGAGTAAGTGTATGTCATCACCTTGGCAGTGTCATGCCCTGTATGTCTTGAATGTGCCTCACCCACCTGTTTTGATACGTATGCTCCAAACCCAGAAACATGTAGGTGCGGCTGTTTTAAGTGCGTCCCTCTGCCTTCAAGACCTCAGTATCCAGCATGCCTGAGAGAGACCTCTGTGGAGTAACCCAGAGTGACCTTAATGACATTTCTGAAACTGGAGTGTGTGTGCAGGAGCAGATGAGCAGCCCATGTGTAGGGTGGTCTTGGTTGGAAAATGCTACTGCTGTGGTGTAGATATGACCTAAGGGTCTAACTAATTTTTGTGCTCCATTCTTCATGTTACGGGCCCAGTTGTTCAGCGATAACAGAAAACAACAGCTTCCAGATATGTGCTACCCCATATTCGCCCAAGGTGGGACTTCACCTGGCCTCATAATGATAAGTCAGGTCTGCTGAGCCAGCAAAGAAGGTATGCCCTCTGTTACTGATCAAGAGCTGAAGTTGACTGCTTTCCCCCTACTCTGGAGCAAGCAGGTAAGAAGAACATGATGTGAGATTCCATGGGTATAGACAGAAGCCATAAATCCCTTTACCAATGTAATTTATTTGAATCCAATCTTTATTTATGCCAATACAAATCAGATATAGAACTACACTTGTTTAAGTCAGCTGCCTACTGTTATCCTGGGGTAGCTATTTGTTCAATGAAAACAGGCTAATGAGGGTCCTCCTGCAACCCTAGTGGTTAAGTGCTGCAATTGTACTTACTCAGAACAGATCATCTGGAATAGCTGTTAGTCTGTTTACCCTTGATCCCAGTGTACTTTACAATGGTTTCCAAAACCTGTGTGAATTACACTGGTATAAATATGTCATCTGTCCAGGATCTATATTACAGTTTCTTCCCAAGTGTGCCCTGCAGCTAGTATAATTCTGTGCTGCCACTTACTCAAGCCAGGTTGACAAGTCACAATGTACCTCAACATTTCATAGTTTCTAGGGTCAGAAGGGACCTGAGCAGATCATCTAGTCCGACCCCCCGCCATGGCAGGAAGAGCACTGGGGTCAAATGACCCCAGTAAGGTGGTCATCCAACCTCCTCTTAAAAACCCCCAGGGTGGGAGCCTGCACCACCTCACTTGGAAGCTGGTTCCAGACCCTAGCCGCCCTGACCGTGAAGTAGCGCCTCCTGATGTCCAACTTAAACCTTCCCTCCGCCAGCTTGTGACCATTGTTCCTGGTCACTCCTTGCAGCGCTCGGGGGAACAGGGACTCCCCCAGCGCCTGCTGATCCCCCCTAACCAGTTTATAACAGGCCACAAGATCCCCCCTCAGCCTTCTCTTTTGAAGGCTGAACAGGTTCAGGTCCCGCAACCTTTCCTCATAGGACCTACCCTGCTGTCCCTTGATCATACGAGTGGCCCTCCTCTGGACCCTCTCCATGCTGTCCACATCCCTCTTAAAGTGCGGCGCCCAGAACTGGACGCAGTACTCCAGCTGCGGCCTGACCAGTGCCGCATAGAGGGGGAGGATCACCTCCTTGGACCTGCTCGAGATGCATCTGTGGATGCACGACAAGGTGCAGTTGGCCTTCCTAGCCGCCTCCCCACATTGCCGACTCATGTTCATCTTGGAGTCAATAATGACTCCCAGATCCTTTTCCACCTCCGTGCTGACAAGAGGGGAGTTCCCCAGCCTGTATGTATGGTGCCGATTGTTCCTCCCCAGGTGCATCACCTTACACTTGTCTGTGTTAAACCCCATCCTGTTCTCCTCCGCCCATCCTTGTAACCTATCTAGGTCCAACTGTAGCCTGTTGCTCCCCTCTATTGTGCCCACATCCCCCCACATCTTAGTGTCATCAGCAAACTTGAACAGGGTGCTTTGCACCCCCTCATCCAAATCACTGATGAAGATGTTGAACAGGGCGGGCCCAAGGACCGAGCCCTGTGGGACCCCACTTCCCACGTCCTTCCAGGTCGAGAAGGACCCATCCACTACCACCCTCTGGGTGCGACTCTCTAACCAGTTGGCGACCCATTGGACTGTATGGGTGTCTACGCCACAGTCCCCCAGCTTCCTAATGAGAATGGGGTGAGAGACAGTATCAAAAGCCTTCCTGAAGTCTAGGAAAACTATATCCACTGCCACCCCTGCATCCAATGATTTAGTGACCTGGTCGTAAAAGGCCACCAGGTTGGTCTGACAGGACCTGCCGCTGATGAACCCGTGCTGGTTGCCCCTGAGCATGCAGTTCCCTGCTGGCCCCTCCTGGATGTGTGCCAGAATAATTTTCTCGAACAGCTTGCCCAGGATCGAGGTAAGGCTGACTGGCCTGTAGTTCCCCGGGTCCTCTTTCCTCCCCTTTTTGAAGATGGGAACCACGTTGGCCCTCTTCCAGTCCTCCGGCACCTCTCCAGAGCACCACGAGTGTTCATAAAGCCGTGCCAGGGGACTTGCAATGACCCCAGCCAGTTCCTTTAGGACTCTAGGGTGAAGATCATCCGGGCCGGCTGACTTAAAAACGTCCAGCCCCTCCAGAAGCTCCCTAACTAAATCCTCACTCACTCTAGGCCCAGGTGAGCCTCCCCCGGGGCCCAAAGGGGGCCCAGCAGGGAGGTGGCAGTTCTGGTCCTTACTGAGGAAGACAGAGGCAAAGAAGTTATTAAATATGTTGGCTTTGTCGTCTGGCGTGACAACCAGATTCCCCGTCTTGTCCTGCAAGGGCCCCACATTTCCTGGGGCCTTCTTTCTACTCCCTATGTATTTAAAAAAGGACTTCTTGTTGTCCTTAATCCGGGAAGCCAGCCCCTGTTCCATCTCTGCCTTGGCCTTCCTAACCATCCCCCTACATCCCCGAGCAACTGCTGAATAGTCCTCCTTAGTGATGACCCCTCCTTTCCATTGGGAGTAAGCCTCCTTTTTGGCAAGGAGACATTCCCGGATGTTTTTAGTGAGCCATGGAGGCTTATATGCTCTCCTGCCCCCTTTGACCCTCCTGGGGATTACCTTCCTCTGGGCTTGGAGGATCGTCTCCTTAAGGAGCGACCACTCCCCTTGGAAATTAACTCATACACCACATTTTGATTTGATGTGACAGCAATCTGTTGCACTCTAATTCCAAAAGAATCACAGTAAAACAGCACCACACTTTGTTTGTTACTACCCACCATATTAGCTTAGTTAACAGTATTTAAAAACCTCTTCCTCCATCCTTACTCCAGAAGCATCCACTCATCATACCACCCTTTTTTGAAAACTGGTTTGAAAATCCTAGATTTTTTGTAAAAATATTTTCTTGACATTTGGGAAAAATTCGGATCCTTTTTTGACTTCATATTTTATGTAAGGAAGGTGAAATCATTAGTTTCTATAAAGGAAAATGCTGTCCATTAGGAACCTGTATTTTGTCACTTTTATTTGAAAGGAGGGAAAGATCCCTACCTGTGGACAATCCCATGGCGATGCAGATGTTCAACCGCTGCCATGATCTGCCGGGTGTATTTTCTCACTTCCTTTTCCTCCAGCTTTTTTTTGTCACAGATTCTGTCCATGAGGTCTCCACCTAGGCACAGTTCCATCACCATGTAATAGGAGTTTTCAGTCTCCAAGGTCTCATATAGCTGAACAACATGAGGATGCTTAATCATCTGGTGTATCCGAGGTTCACGCTTCATATTTTTTAAAACGTAGGTGTCCTGCTTGGCTTTTTTCTTGTCAATGACTTTTATGGCTACCTAAATTGTAGAATATATACAAATTGGCAACACCTGTATCAACCTTAGCAACACAGATCTATCTTAGAAATGTTTCGGAAATAAGTTTATATGAGTGAATTTCTGGTTATTGATAGTGACTTTTATAATGTGATGACCCAGAGGGGACACATGAACCCTGTCTCCCTCTCCAGGGTCAAGAATCTGAAGAGCTAAAATCTGTCATCCAACACCCTATCTGTGTCTCTATCTATGTAATCCCCACTAATTGCAGTGGGAAATGTGCTTAGAGAAAGCTCACCCAAGCACAAAAAGGAGCATGTTCCCCAACATTAACTGAATTTGAATTGGCAAGCAAGCAACATCCTTTTTCTAACATGCTCCCTTAAGGTGCATAGATGGCAATGGAAAGACTGATATTGGTCTTTAGAGGACTTTGGGTCAGGCCCTGAGTAGTTTAGAAGATTATCCAGACATTATGAAACAAAATGAACTAAAAAGAGAACTGATAATGGTTAAAGCCGTGAAGGAAAAAAAAATACAGACAATGCAAAATTAATTGTAATCCATGCATTTCCATAAATAAAACTTGTGACATATATTCCTAGAAAAACTAAGCTGGGTAAATTATGTATTAACTATCATAAATTTTATCATCTACTATTGCAGTAGTTCATTTTTCTATAAGCTTTACTCAGTAGTTTTAAGGCTCAGATAAAAGACAAGGGCTAACTCTGGTAAGAGTGGAGTTACTCCTATAGCACAATTTCTTTCTTCTCTGAAAGGGTGATGACTTCATACACCAAGTGAATTCTGATTGTGCAGATGATCATACAAAGTTACATTCATGCATGTGGCTGATTTTGTGGGTTTTTTAAAATCTCTACTTAAACTGTACAGTCTATTTATGAAGTCAGGCTCAGTTTTAAAGTTCAGGGTGATCATTCACTGAGCAACTGCAGTGTGTGGATTAAGATAACAATCATCTATTTTTTCTGTATATATATGTTGCAATGAGATGAGTGGCAATCATTAGTTATGCTATTCTGTTATTCTGAGTTTACCTTCTCCCCGGTGAGGATGTGTAAGCCTTCCATCACCTTGGCAAAAGAACCCTTGTTGATCATTTTGCCCACCAGATAAGTCCCGACTTGTTTGGTGTGAGGGAAATTCTTCCCAGCCTCTTGGGGAATCTTGCTAAAGCAAACAGGTATCGGTATATTCCTGCTGGTTTTCTCCCATTCTGGCAATGTTCTGTCCAGGTTGCCAGCATCTGTGGTTATGCCATCAAATGTTGTTTTGACAGCTGTAGGCATCCTCAAACGGGTCAGATTTACAGCACTACTTTCCAGATGTAACCTGTGATTAATAACAAACACAGTCATTAAAACTGTGCATCGTGCAATGCAAATACTATCCTATTGACTGTGGAGCATCTAATCCTTTCCCTTTGAGTCTCCTTTTTGTCACTGATCTCTACCCCCAGGCATGCAGATCTGCTCAAGCAGAACCAAGCTGCAGATTATTAACCTAACCTGATACATGATGTCAATTAATGTCCCAGGGTTGCCAGCTCCGATGACACATAATCCCAGCATTAGCATGGAATAACCACTCCCTTTCAGTTAGAATAAGACTGCAAATAAATATTTACTGGATTCTCTGGTAATGCCAATCAGCTAAATTGGACTGCAAACTCCTTTGCTCTTTCTTTTTCTTGAAAGATAAAAGTACAGCTATTCATTTTAAAAACTTTATGGTAGCTTACATGTTTACAGGATTTAATGAAACAACATAGCAGCAAAGATCTAAATATATCAAATTTTATCTTCACATTTAAGTCACTAAGTTTTGGTTTATGTAAAAAAATATATATTTTAAGGAGATATTTTTAAGGAGATTTTGCATTTCTTGGAGCATTATTCATTTCTACAAAATGCGATTTCTTTCTTACATAAATCTTCATTTAAAAATATATTTAGAAAAAATATTTAGTCAAGTTTAATATTCAACATAAAGAATCGTTTTATTTGTCTTGTTTTATTTTGCAGCTTTGTGACTCATGTAGCTCAAAAAGGGACATAATCCTCTGGATGGGTAAATGGAAGGGGAGTGACAATTTATATTTAATATCTAGACATTGCAAACAAGTCATAGTTTTTAAATATTAACTTTATGCCAGTGGGTAGTTCTGTTGACTTAAATGATGCCACTGGGGGACATAAACGGTGTAAAGCCCCAACTACATGTTACACTTAAAGGGTGATTAACCAGTTAATCATGCCTTAAGTGGTAACCCAACCACATGTTCAATCAACTAATGGCATGATAAAGAGGAATAAGATACACAGTTATTCCATAAAATACATGGAATAACTTTGTAGTGCTTCCTATCATGCCACTAAACTGAACATGTGGCCAGTGGCCCCTGTGGCTGGGAGTCCCAGCAGCTAATCAGAGCTCCCAGCTGGGGGAGGAAGGAGGGGCATGTGCAGAATCAATGTGTTCTGCTGAGCCTGGAAGTTGAGCCTGGGAGCCCCCAGTTGACAGGGCTCCCAGCTGCAGGGCTCTCACACACCTCAGCAGCTTCAAGATTGCAGTAACTACAGTCTTCCTGCTGCGAGGATCCCTGGGGCACCCCTGCAGCTGGGAGCCTAGGTCGGCTGATGGAGCATGTTTCTTGCCAGTGCAAGAAGTGCATCAGGAATAAGGCATGATGGGATCTAATGTGCAATCCACACAATTGTATCTCTTGCAACACACATGTGCCATAGCAGGAAGTATGATTGTGTAGATCATGCATTAGATTTCATCACATTAGGAAAGATCTAACCCCTGTGCTCTTTCCTTCCCAGGGCAGGGTGTCAGACCCAACGATTTACTGAGGTCCCTTCTGACCCAAACATCTATGATATATGAACATTTACCTGTACATGTAGAGGGGCCCTAAGTGTTGGCAGGATCAAGGCAATGTATCTCCTTTTCACATAGCTGAAATGTCACTTAGCACTCACTCCTGTCACTGACCAAATGATCAACTACAAGCAAACTGAGCAAAGTATGGTCTTTTGTAAAGTATTTCAATTTTAGTATTCCTTGCTAGGCAAGGAAGGAACTTGCATTTCTAACTAAGGTAAGGCATTGTGGGTACAGACAGAAGTGCAGCTCCCTGCTGTAACTGAGAACACTTTGCAAGAAGTGTTCTCAGTCGCAACGATCCCTGGGACCAAACAGAAGTTCACTGTTGGTTCCAGGGGAGAGGGGAATAGCAATGGCCCTCCTCTCTCCTAGGCTGGTCTTGTTTCAGAATGGGGGGGTAGGTGGGAAAGGGAGTTGAGGGACCTCATTCTAGGAGTTCCCGAGCTGGTGCTGGAGGGTGGGGTGGGTGAATTGGAACCCCCCACCTCGGGAGGCTCCAATACACCTGCCTCACCCTCCAGCACAGGCTGAAAAGCCCCCAGACTGAACTACCTCCACTCCCTTTTCCCACTCCCATTCTGAAAACAGTGACAGGCTGGCAAGCAGTGCAGACAGAAGTTACAGAAAAAACCTCTATTTTGCAATGTCTTCATCTGACCCCGCATGCAACGGGGGTTCAGATTTTCATCCAACTGGACATTCTGGAAGCTGTCTGCAGCTGTGCACTTGTGTTTGGTCATGGCTATAAACCACTTTCTGTGACCATATGGAGCGAAAATTGTCATTTCTGCCTGCGCCCTTTATTTCTGATCCTTTATTTCAAGATACTGAGACAAAGGAAAACAGCAGTCTTCTATTTGAATTAAAAGAACATGAGAAATGCTTTTTTGAGATGTGCTTACTGTTGGCTATGCCTTCTTCCCTACATCCAATTCCATTGTTCATTGGCTTTCCTAGTGAAAACCAAGAAGAGAGATGTAAAATCATTTTAAAAAAATAAAAAAGGGACCACAGCATGAAACATAAAGCCCATATTTCTGGCACATTTCAGAAGAAAGGAAAAAACCTCTTTAAAAATATAACAAACCTTAAAACATGATAGCTGGCTAAGCTAACTATTGCTATTATTGGGGAAAGGCCCAACTTGACACCTTGAAAAAATGTTGAAATAGAGAAGCTTCCAAATACATCTTAAAGTAATTTTTGGCATAGTAGAGAATTAAGAAAGGGAGTGAGGGAGCAAAAAAGCATAACTCTTGTGTTGAGGAGTCTGTTACTCCTATTGAACATACGCCAGCTGAAACTGAAATCTTGCATGAGAATGGAGACTCAAACCAAAGCCAGTAGTGTCCAGATTCACTGATCTTGTTGTTATGTGCTTGGGTGCACTTTATATTGAAAAGTCCCAAGAGGAAGAAGCAATGGAGTCAGAGCTTCATTAGTGGATACCTGCCAATAAATAGATTTCAACAGAGAGGCAGTTTCAGAACAGTGCTGGCAATAGCCACAGTCTGCCTTAAAAAGTCAAAAAACACCCTTGTTTTTCCCCTGTCAAAAGCAAGGCCCCTCAATTCTCCCCTCCCCTACACACTTTGTATTCATTTGAAAAAATATTGTGCAGAGGCAAAAATCAAAACTTCCCAAAATTGAAGATGTACTGACTTTTCTTATCAGTAATTGAAAAAATTAACCTATAAATAGTAGGTTAGCTCTTGGCTTGAGGAGAAACATCTCTGTTACTTAACTGTTATACTGTCAATTATTCCTAGTATTATACTAGTAAGGGGGAGAAACTGAAATCCAACAAGAACAGATAGAATCACAGATGTCACCCACAGTATTTCTAGGTTTGGCCCTATAGGTGAAATAGCTGCTAAGCTTTATAAAAATGGGTGAGGCTAGGTAAGCAATCCTAATTATGTTCAGGATGAATAAAGCAGCATGAGGAGGAGTTTGAAACCCGTCATCTTTGATTTTCTCCTGTGATGCAGAAAAGCCTGTTGACATATCCAAAGGTTTATGTTCTCCAATACAGTTTAGGAAGCTGGCTGCTGGCTTTCTGCTATCCCATGACAGAACCCCAGCTTCTCTAAAAGTGGTGGTATATATATATTTTTAAATACTCTCTTGATTGTAGGTTCTTCTAAGGATGCTGGGTGAGGTTTTTCTCAAGTACCAAATGCCAGGTTTGAGAAGCATTTCAGCTCAGAATTACCACTGATTTCAATAAATACCTCTAAAAACATTGCCCTTAGTGACTTACGAGTGAAAGACTTGGGCTCCAGAGTCAGTTAGGGGCACTTTTGTAAATCCCACCCACTGACATTTGTGTGTGTTTCCCACTAAGCACTGCCATCTGGTGCTTAAGCTAATAAAGCCACTCACTCACTTCACAAACTGGGTCTGCTTTTAAGTAGCTGGAGGTTTTGAACTGTTCACATTTCCACATGGTTTAGGTTAGCTGATTGTGGTTTATGAGTGTAGACACATATGCTCAATGAGTCATTTTCATTTCTAAAATCTTTTAAAGTTCCAAACTGAGAAGTGGGGATTTCCTCTTCAAAGAAGGAAATCCAAGATGGTGGCCTTAATGTGGTGAATAGAGCAAATCACTTAAAGGAAGGAAAAAAAAACCCAACCTGTTCCTAAATATATGAATAGGAGAAGTGAGGAGGGAATTTATCTAATGGCAGCCTCACACTCTAGATTGTAATAATTCTCAGGTTCTGGAACCACTTCAGTCTCATGCTTCATAACATACCCAATACATGTCCTTATTACTCCTGTAACACCTGACATAGTGTATGTTATTTCTGACTTCTTATATGGCTTTTGGCAGCCACAGAGTTTACTTTAGTAGTTACTATACGTACAAGTGAAGCAGCTTTTCTGCAGGATTTACGCACTAAAATGTGTTAAGGGGGTTAAGAAGCTGTACACTTTTGGGGGTCTGGTTCTACTCTTGCACTGGTGTAAATCAGACATCTGTGTCAGATGTTAATGAAGTTACATAAATAGCATGACTTTTAACCATGGGGCTGCAATATCATTTGAAGGGTGCTGTGCACTATTAGTACAGTTACATGTGCAAACATCCAAATGTGATTCACAGATAAAATCAGAGATTTTATATTGGAATACATAGGGCGTGTCTACACGTGTCACTATGGTGACGTTACTGTGCCATGATTTAGTACTTCCTTCAGGAAGTACTAAATCGTGGCGCAGTTACAGCCTGTACTGTGTCGTTCCCGCAGTGCATGGTTATTTTTAGCAGCTACTTCACCATAGTGGTGCGCTATATCAGGGGATCATGTTGCTATGGCAAAGTAGCTGCTGGTCACATATACACATCCACAGACACTATGTTGCGGTAGCATGTTGCTATGGTGATGTAGCATCATGTATAGACATGCCCATAGTGTCCAAAACATTGAGCTGTTTTGATCTTTCTGAATTCTTTAAACAGAATTGCTCTATTATTTTTCTGTAGTCAAAAACTGAGTGAAAGCAAAGAACTGACATTTTCCAAAGAGTGCCTTGCATTTAAAAAG